ATGCAACGTTTTAGCTCTGCCCTGCTCTACCATGCGTTAGATCGATCAGAGGGATAGGACAAAGGCGTTATGGGGCTGACGAGGTTGTTATTTGAAAAGGTAGGGTAATTGTAAACGTTGCCACTGATGATTACATATCGGATTCTGCTAACATGACACACATTCTCAGTTAAAGCCACTAAGAATAAACTGAAGGGGGGAAAAAGCAAAGCAAAACTGACATAAGTAGGTAATGGTATGGTACATCTTATGAATATAATACTTTCCATGTCATTGACTGTTTGGTTTAAAAGTTAGCAGAATAGTGCCTGTAGTTAACATGTTTCTACATAAATGAGCAGTGGTGAACAACAGAGGCATTTCCTTGGGGTTCTTGGCCAGGTCTATACTGGGGTTAATCAGAGGTCAGCAGAGTTTTTCTGTAAAGAGCTACATTGTAAATATTTAACCCTGCAGCCATAAAGTCTCTATTAGAACTACTCAACCCTCTGCTGTGGTACAACAGCACTGCAGACAAGGTTTAAATGAATGAACCCAGCCGTATTCTAATAAAACTTTATTTACCAAACAAATGGTGGCCTGGAGTTGTTCTGTAGTTTGCCAACCAATAGTGTAAACAATGCCAGGTAAATAGTGCAAAATGATACTTGGCAATTTCTTGAATATGTCCTGAAATTCCAAATGGTGAGCAAAAAAATATTGTGTAGATCAGTGCAATTTTAATTTCCTCTGATAGTATAGGAATCACAATTTCATACCCAGTGAACTCAATATGAGGTTGAACCAATTTTTCTACATATCATCAAAATCTGAGACTCATTTACCTGTGCATAATCACCAAAAGGCTGAGAATACGCAATGCACTTTTCCAATGTGTGTTGTGATTCATTTTCCTGAGAGATTGCCTCCAGAATGTTGCTCGTAATTCCAGTCTTCTGTAGAGTGGTTTTACTTGCAGGGGCTAAAGGCAAAATTGATACATATATTTTAGTTAGGTTGCTTTATTGTTCATTATAAACACAGTACAAACTCATTAATTCAGCATATTTTCAAATAGAACACCAATTTTAGCTTGCCAGAATATATATCTACATTATCCCTAGGAGAAAAAATATATATAGTATATGATATTGTCTTAGTCATTTAAAAGAACTGAATGAAAGTTTGCCCTATGGGTAAATAATTTTAGTGGAAACATTTAAAAAATAAAAGTCTAGCCCCAGCTAGTTTGGCTCATTGGATAGAGCGTTGGCCTACGGACTGAAGGGTCCCAGGTTCGATTCCGGTCAAGGGCACATGCCCGGGTTGCAGGCTCGATTCCCAGTAGGGAGCCTGCAGGAGGCTACCGATCAAGCCGATCAGTGATTATTTCTCATCATTGATGTTTCTATCTCTCTCCACCTCTCTTCCTCTCTGAAATCAATAAAAACATATTTTTAAAAATGCATATGTATGTATAATCTCCAAAACAAGGCATACAGAATGTAAACTAACCTTTCTTGTTAATGTAACAGTTGTAACTATCAATTTTTAGACCAGTTAAAAATATAGTAGATGTAGTAAAATTGTATTAAATTTTTTTTCTGGCTTTAAAAAATTAGAAATTAATGTTTAGATTCAAGAGGATACTCCATAAAATAAAGATAATGCACATTAAAAACAAAATTCATCTCTCATCTCTTCTCAACCAATCCTATTCTTTTCCCCAGGGGTGACAGTTTAAAATTTATTTTCCCAGATTTACTTTATCCATTTACACATTCAAATATGTACATGTAAGAATATACAGCTTTAAATAAACAAATGGAATCATTTTATACATACATTTGCTTTTTCCACTTAATTTGTTTTAGAGATCATTTTCCATTAGTACATGATTATAAGAGGAAAGTTGCATAGTATTCCACTTTATGACAAACTTCATTCCTGTCAACGGACCTTAAGGCACTTTCTAGTTTTTACTGTTTACAACAATGTTCTAGTGAATATCCTAGTATATGTACAGCGTAAGCCACAATTGTGATTTTCTCTTAAGATTGTTAATTTACACGAACTGAAGGCCTGAGGAGACCTTCAAAAAAAGACATGAGAATTCCACTTCTGCCATTGAGTAGCTCATATGTCTTTGGTGTATTTGGCTAATACTCCAGATATATTAAATTACTTAGAAGTTTAAACCTCTATTTTAGAAATAGGATTCTATCTGTAAAGAATTATTGTGCCAAATAATTCTTCTGCCCAATTATTTTTAATGATTCAATAATTTCAATAAATTAAATTATATTCTTAAGAAAGTATTATAAAAGATGCCTTCCTTAAAGTAAAATGCATTTTAAAGGGTTCATTTTAGTTATTCTTTCATTTTAAAAGACCGGGGGTCATAATTTAGGCTTTAATTGG